ACTCAGGGTTACAGGATGCCTAAACCACGACACGTGGACGATACCCTGTAAGACTATGGACCATTAATTTATTTATTTAATCATGAACTTGCTATGAAAAGTTTAGAATTTTTTTCATTACCTCTATAACTCTTTAGCAACGAGAATGGCATTCCAGACCTAAACAATCAAATATCAATCTATTGACCATTACTTTCTTTGACTTCCTAGTCATAGAGTTCCAACTTTCGTGCTTAGGTAGCTCCGGAAAATATGTTGTGAAAAACCTTTTAGTAGAATTTGTATCACCAAAACCCAAGTTTTATTTAATTTTTTTTGTTTTATTTAGTTACAAGATAATGCAAGACTGTTGGCAAGAGAACCCAGATGATCGCCCAATTTTTGAGAATCTTAAGAACGATTTGAAGGAAATGGAAAATCAACATCAGGTGGAATATTTACAAAGTAAATTTAAGGCTTGGTCACCTTTTGATTTAGAAGTCGTTTAATAGATTCTCTTTTTTTTTTCCTTACAGAGGCTCATCAACATGCAACATTATGACAACATCCTTTACGCAAGCATGGATTAGGCTCTTGTTCAAGAATTGTGGAAACAACTGTTATCATCATAGGCGGAAACCGTTTCTTCCACACACCTCAAGCAATAGAAATTTAAAACTAGATGTGTCCTGATGCTAAATCAAGTCCTTTTATGATGCAGCTAACAACCAAGGGAAGTGCCCTGCCCATAAGGCGACGTAAAAGTCAGAGTAAAGTGATCAGTTGTTGCTAATTACCATGTAGTTTAATTGGTATTTGGTATCGAAGTCAAGGTGAACCATTACCTATTATATCGATATTTAGTCAGTAGTTATTAGAATGATTTAATTAGGATAACTGCGCATTTTAAGCGTTGTTCAGCCCACTTTATTGAATGTTGCACTCGAAAATAAGGTTTTGGTGAAATGTTAGATGTTATTGCTGACACACTTTAGAAACTTTAGCTGAGGAAGCGCTGGAGAAATTGTTTTAGTTATTGCATTCTGTGAGCTAATGGACATTTAAAGTTTGGAATGAGCCTGCATTTTGATATATAAGCGAGTAGCTTAAATGCGTCCTTGAATAAAAACTGCAACCACAAGCGAGCAGTGTTCATTTTCCAGTAGAATACACTTTTTGGATGCTCTTCCCTGTGCCATGTTGAGAGCTTCGTAAAGTCGAAGCCGGGTTCGGAAAAAACTTACCCAACAAATGCTGGCATAATGAATGTCGTTTCACGTCGATGTTGTGGAACTCGCTGAATTTTCGGGCATCCTCGCACTCGTTTCTCTTATCCCCGATATCCGTCATGCCACGATTGCCAAGGACGCACGAGGCGATTTTTTTAAGGAACTAGGCCGATCGCCAACATTGACATGATTCAGCAACATAATGATCCTCACAAAACGCAATACTAGGCTTTGATAATCTCCGATATCCGACGTACCAGATTTTGGGGATTCACAAAAGTCACGGAATTAGTCCAATGATTTTGCCCTAAGCGTGCAGCTTAATCGTATATTGAGTAACTTGGTCTCTCATTTCTCGTAATGATGAGTGCGAACGTGGCTGAGTGTTTTTTACAGATACTACAATAGTACAGGCCGGTATTTGATTGTTTTTGGTCAGTTTTTTGTTTCTTTTTTTTTTGCCTGTTTGTTTGTTTGTTTTTTTCTCATAGTATTGTAACATTTTTTGCATTGCATCTTGCTTTCTCTTTAAATTTCTCCATCTACATGGAGAAATTCAAGGAGAGGGCATTGAAATTGGCTAGGAATCCACTTCCTTTATATTAGAGATAAGTGGTTGATACCATCACAATACTAAGTGCACCAGCAATGGTAATAAGAATGTTATACACGGGTTTATCCGATATCGTTTCTTTACTACTTTTTGCACTTCTTAGATGAGAGAGTTGATCGGTAAGATGACTTTGCC